ACGAATACACAGCAGCCAACAACCGACACTTTCAGAGACTTTTAAAAGGAAAGAGAAACTGCCCCAGAACAGTGAAAAGGCCAAAAACATAACAGCCAAGATAGCTGAATTCATCGCGTTGGATGACCAGCCGTTATCTGTTACTTTGTTTTTCTCTGAATGCATTGCATAAAGATCGGATCGGGAAAAATCGGTATCGGCAGATTGTCAAAATCCAATGATCGGAATCGGATCGGGAGCAAAAAAAGGTGATCGGGACATCCCTATATGAGTTGATGATGAACATCTAGTACACGTAATAACAAACATTCAAAAGATGTACTAGCTGAAAGTCTTCAGACAGTAACTCAAATAACGTGGATATCTACCGTGTATACAATAATTAAGACATGAACTAGTTAAAGCTGCATTAACATGTTTTTGGCCACTTGGGTTCAACAGAGCTGAAAACACAACATTTCAGAATGACGATCATTTGAAATGTTTTTGTTGCCCCTCCATCACGAGAGCCGTAATAATAATAATAATAATAATAATAATAATAATAATAATAATACATTACATTTATAAAGCGCTTACAAGCAAGTAAAAAAAAAAAAATAAATAATAATAATAATACTACTGGAATAACACAACGTTTGCAAACCAGAAAAATAAAACAATAAGTTGAAATACACTCAAATATCTCTTTGAGTTGGGGGATCTGTAGAGTCGTAAAAATATTGATGTGTGCAGCTTTAACAAAAGTGGAGGGGTCTGCTTTTTCCCTAATGTCTTTTTCTTTGGAGTGACAATCATCATGAAGTTGAAAACCCTCTTTAAAGCAGTATAAATGTCAAATACCAAAAATGTTATATGGACAGAAGATAGACTGTGACATAGAGCTTCAATACTTCAATGTGGAATAATGACCAGGAAATGTAGAGCAGAATATTTCAGAATATCTAACACATATTAAAGCTCAGGTATACTCGTGATGTGCTCACCTGCAGCAGAGCAGCAGCCAGGTAGACGGACATGAAGATGGGCGTCAGCGTGGTGTGTCCGCTCTTCATCAGGTGGATGGTGTAGAGGAAGATCAGGTGACCCGGGACCACCAATAGGAGCAGCACCTGAGCAGAGCGGTGATTGGCTCCTGGGAAAATAAAAAAGGTTCATCAATTACCTCATAATTATCTTGTTTACATCGTTTTACCTCAATTACAACACTCGTTTTTAACAAACGTTCTTTACTGATTACTGGATTCAATTTATTATATTCTGAATTGTTTCTGTTTGTTTCCAAGTATGAAAAGAACAGAAAGTAAGAAGAAGCATTTTTCAGGCTGTGAACTGACTTCACAATTTAAGATTTCAAGATCTTAATTCTTTAAAAATGTAAAGACAGCGATATCAATTCAGAAATTGAAATCCAGACCTCATAGGAGTACCATAACAACAAAATAATACATCTGTAAAAGAATAAGGACGATGAATGGGAAAACATAAAGAAAAACAAATGAAAAAATGTGATAAATAAAGTAGGGCTCTCAAACAATTACAATTTTTAATCAGATTAATCACAGCTTAAAAATTAATTAATCATGATTAATCACCATTCGAACTATGTCCAAAATATGCCATTTCTTTATATTGTTGTGGGAATGGAAA